CCATGCGCAAGATGGGGTACAACGGCGCGGCCGGAGCGGGCTTGGCGTCAACCTCCATCGGCTCCGGAGACTTGAGACGGCTAGCCTCAGGAGACTTGGGAGCGGGAGCAGCAGCGGCCTTCTCGGCGGGCTCGTCGGAGTACTCTCTGCGGTCGATGCGATCGCGGATGTACTCACGGAGTGCCTCGATGGTACGCATGTTCTCGAGCCACTGGTCGTACTTCTCCTCGCGCTCGCGGGCGCCCTCGCTAGTGTCCGACTCGGATGAGGGAGAGCCGACGGATGAGGCGACGGACTCGGCCTTGGGAGTGGTGACGCTGGAGGAGTCCTCGTAGATGATGGGGGACTTTGGCGAGGAGGGCGCGGCACGCTGGAGCATACCTCCCGAGTAGCGTCTGCGCTCGTTGCTGTCGAAGCTGGGTCCGAGCGTGGAGGCAGTGGACTGGCCGGGGAAGACGGAGCTGACCGCCGGGAGATTGGGGTACATGACTGAAGAAGCTGTGGAGCTGTGTCTCGACTGGGGAGACATGCCGGAGGAAGAGGGGCTGGGCGAGTGACCAGATGTGTATGACATGGTGCTTGAGGGAGGAGTGACGGCGGGGGTTCCAGTCGATGAGACTGCGGTCAACGGGGACGCCATGTGAGCAGCGGACACGGGGTAACCGTCTTGGGTGACTGGAATGCCGGCGTGAGAGCCTCTGTGAACACCCGGGGGCGAGGGGCTGTGGCGGAGATCGAAAGTGTTCTGGCCGTGGATGTGGATTCCTTGCGTGGCCTGGTGCGAGTTTTCGTAGACAGTGCTCTGCATCTGCTCCAAGATCTGATCGATCTGGACCAGGTCGTTCTTGGTGCGGGCGTTGGGCATGGGCGGCAGGTAGTACTGCTGGGACATGGGTCCGGGGCCGGAAGGAGGTCCGCCGGCCTGTTGGTGGTGAACGTGCTGCTGAGGCGGGGCTGCCATGTAGTCGGAGCCGGGCATGGGACCGGCGTGCAGGCCGAGAGCGCCGTGAAGGGGGAGAAGGGATCGGCCGACTTGTTGATAGGAGGTGGGGTCGACCTGGCGACGCTTGGCGTGGGCGAAGAAGTCGTCAACCATGTCGAAAGCGCGCTTGCTGCGGTTGTCATAGCCGCCGTGGTGGCCAATGTACTCAGTTCGGGGAGGGTTCAAGGGTTGTTGGTTGAAGTACAGTCCATAGTTTGTAGATGGTTGGGGTGCATAGTAGCTAGCATGCCCAGCCTGGTGTGCGAAGGCGGCGGAGTTAGTCCGAATGTGGCCATTATGATCATAGTAGCTAGAAGAAGCTGGAGGCAAATTAGCCTCTAGTTGGAGAAAATAGAGGACAGACTTTGGAGGGGTGTGCAAACTGAGCTCTACATACCTTTGCCAGGCTGCGCCCGATAGCCATTGAGACCTTGGTCCTGGGGCGAGCGGACGAGCACCGAGTCATCGGCGTGGGTCTGTCGATGTGTGTGAGCATGATTGAAGAAGATGGCGAAAGTGGTTTGTTGGTTGATTTACCTTGACGTGCTTCTTCAAGTCCTGAGGGCGCTTGAATGACTTGCCGCAGAACTCACACTTGTGAGGCTTGAGAGGAACGTGCACGCGAATGTGAGAAGTGATGTGGTCACGCTTCACAGTGGTCGTCCTGCAGGAGTTCCATTGGCAAGTGAGGTTGAGGTTGTTGGTGCTCTTGCGGCCAACATGGCGTTCGCAGATGTGCTCCTGTTAATTTTGTTAGTGAGATGTTTCGGGTGAAATAAAGATTTAGTGTGGCATTGCCACCACTTACGTAGAGAGCCTCGGGTGAGACAAACTTCAGGTTGCAGGCGTTCCACTTGCAGATGAGGTTGTCCTCTGCACTGGTGCTGTTGGCGGACTGGGAAGTGTTGCTGGTTGTTGTTGAGGGAGCGGGGGTGCTGCTCTTGGGAGAGTTGCTCGCAGAGCTCTCATTCTCTTGTTTGGCGGACATGGTGGGTGACCGGGGTGTGTGTATGTGTGCGTGAGTGTTGACCGAGCTGGCGGGCTCGGTGAAGAGAGTCCGGAAGATTAGAATGTGCCGGGTCCCGTGAGGCGCGTTGGGATTGGATGGTTGTGTAAGTAGGAGTGGGGTCCTTCTTGATGCTTCAGGTTGTAGATTGCCGAGAACAGGCGAGAGTATACTTGGGATACTACAAAGCTGAACGGGGAAAAAAAGAGACGGTCAGCAATGCTTTTATGTTTTTCTGCCGACTCTCACAAGACTGGGTGTTTTCGAGGGAAATCAATCAGTCTGATCTGGGGGGCATGGACGATGGGCTCTTCTCTTTATTCATGAATCACATTTCCTCTCCGCTCTTCCTACCCTTCCAAGAGTCTTGGCAAAAGTCTTGGCGACCGGGGCTTGTGAGACCAGCCGACTTTTGATTGGTCCGAGGTGGCGAGGGCTGCCGAGCTGATGTCGCGGATGATGGGGGGAGACAACAAGGCAGGCAAGGTGCGTCAAGCCTTGCCTGGAATGACACTGTAGTCAGCACACTTCCCTCTAACACTTTTATCATGCAAACACACATAAAAGAGATAGCTGAGGCTCAGCAGCACAGTCCAATCCTGATGAGAAAACAGACAGCACCCACTGACAGCGCAAGTACCTCGCCAACACCGCAACATCCGGGCGCATACGATGCCAAGACTCTGGCTCTCTTGGAGCGTCTTGGCAAATCTCCAGTTTTCACTCTTTCTCCCTTCGCCGAGACCTTGGCATTTGCACTTGGCTCCTATTGCTTCATCCTGCGAGCACCCGCGTCCATTTACGTTGGTCAATAGCTCGCCATCAGCTGATGACCGCAAGCGCAGCGTTTGATTTCCTGTCCTCCTTTACTCGGCGGCGGCCTTCGTACCGGTATGGTTCTTGCCAGCTTTCTGGGAAAATCTGGCCTTCTTTGTCCCTGCCACCGGTTGCCACGCTCATGGGAATAACGGCGGCACACACCCATCATCGATGCGGCTCGTTGGGGATGTTCCTCAAGACAATGGCCATGTATTAGGTATTTCTGTCTACGGAGTACGGGTCACAACACTCTGTGTCGTCTGAAGAAAAAGCCTGCGACCGTCTCAGATGAGGGAGCACTGTTTCCAGCCAAGCAGGTGAGCCGAGTATTTTTGGGCCTTGGATTGCTTGGGGTCTCTGGGGGTCTTGGGGGGGGGGGGGGTGACCAGACGGGACAAGAGTCCAAGACTGACCTGTCCTGAGAAACAAGCCGCCAAGTACTCCCGTACCTGATGTCACGGGCAAAGCAGCCGTCGCACTGAGAAGTACGGAGTACGGAGTACACTTTCAGGCGACCAGCCAGAGAGATAGGACGATTGACAGGACATGGGAGATGCCTGGTGTCCGATTGACAGGGTAAGGGGCGCGAGAACGACAAGCCTTCCACGCTTTTTCTTAGTACTCCGTATACCAAGACCTCCATGCTTCGAGTCCCAGACTCCCAAGAGCCAAGAGACCAAGTCTCCGTGCCTTCGTACCAAAAGAAGCAGAAAGCGAAAAGAGACACACACGACACGGGGTGGGGACGAGGATGCGACGGCGGCCTCGGACGCTCCGATAAGCGCATACCCCGTAAATGTTGATAACTCTCCATCCCATGGAGCCGGCCCAAGAATAACGATCCGCACACGGCAAGACGGGATGCAGCCAGCTCGTCATTTCCGCAGGCCACACCGAGACTGCCACGCTGCGAAGGATGGCAAACCCGCAACAAATAACCCAGTTGCTTAACCGAGCGATTCGCCCTCCACTTTTTCGACTTGCAAGTTGCGCGTGTGTGGAACAAACTCGACAGTCCGGACACACAAGTGGCGCCGGACCCTCGATAAGCTGGGGGACGGCACCCTCGGGGGGGCAGGTGACTTTCGGGTGACGGGGGGGACGCTGTAGATTCTGACAACGTTTTGGGGCAATGCCCAAGAGCCAAAAGAAGCTTTCCGCTCCTCTCTTCTTGGCCTCTCCGCCGCAGCCAAGACTGCCAAGTCCTTAGCGCCAAGGGCTACGCGCAATCCAAATGCCCTCGCCTGTTGTCGGCTGGTTGTCGCCCCCTCTTCTCGACATGTCCACGATACAGTCGCCGCTCCCCTATGGTCAGCCAGAAGCCGTTCAAACCGGCTCGTCCAGAAAGTGTTGCGCAATACCGCCTGTTATGGCCCACGCAAGGGAAGCCGATGTGCCGGGCGTTGGTCATCGCATTCGGTGCGGGTGAGATGCGGTGGAGCTCGCCAAGCTTTAAATACGTGGATGAGGGAACTTGAACGTTTTCCCTAAACCGAGAGCTTTGAAAGCAAGCACAGATGGGAAATCGAAAAAGATTGGGTTGGGGTGGTGGGCGAGGATGCGGCGTGCGGCGTGGTGAGGAGGGTGAGATGCCGTGTGCCAAAACGACGCAGCTGTCGGGGTCCGAGGGATACGTACCTCCGAATAGGTAGGTAGGTACGGTACGGAGTACTGTGGCACTGCGTGCCTCGAGTCGACACCAATAGAAGTTACCACAGTACGCAGTACCAACCCAGCCTCGATCCGCCAAGACTCATTTCTAGTAATGGCAGGTACCTCTCGACCCCCTCCCCTTCCCCTTCCCCTTCCCAAGATCATCCCGTCCCTGACTGGCCATCCACAGATTCCTCCCCAGTGTGGCAGTTCACTTTCTCCCTTTACACTCAACCACCACTCAATTCCCTACGGTTTCGTTGTATTTTGCCTTTCGACTATCTAATTTGCCTTCTCGTTGTCGGGTTCCCATCACGGCACTTAGCAATTTGTGTAATACACTGCATCGCAAACGCACCGACACAGCCATCTTTTTCTTAAGTTGGTCGATCCAGCCAGATGTCGCCCCGTCGATTACCTTAAAACATGCACTCAACGTGCCAACGTGCCCGAGGCTTGACGCCCGTCCATACATAGTAGTGTCATATTCACGAGTATTCAGGTGAGCGGGTCGCTCAACTCTTGGCAGTTCGACCCACGATGGCGGTACGCCAATTGGTGTCAGACTGCTCCCCTAATCCCCTTGGTGAACGGTCTCGTCGACCGGTCGACTTGACCTTCTCCCTCTTGGCTACGGCGCCAAGCTTGGTCGAAAAAAGAAGACATGAGCCCAAGAACGACGAGCCGTCTCACAAACCATGCCATCGCATCATGGCCGACCCCGCCTGTCCACGGGATCCCTCACTGGCACGGTGTGTTCGCTGCAGACCATTCCCAAGAACTCGAGTATCAGCAAAACCTGATAATTTGCCGCTTCAAAGCTCAGCCAGACGAAAGCTAGGCGTTCTTGGCTGCAGATACCAAGCACCTTCAGCCTGTATCCTCCATCCTGTCCACCTTGCGCCCGCCGCTTCGCCGTTCAATGAGGCTGTGCAAGCAATGCCAAGACCTACGAGGATGGGTGGTTTCGCCCTGGCTTCAACTCTCGCCAGTCCAGGGGGGGGACCACATCGCCAGCGCTCTACACTCAATCAGAGGAGAAGCAATCAAAACGAGGCCTTTAATAAGTCTTGGCATTGCTCCTTTCACACTCACTGGCCGCCACATGCATTCTATTTGCGCGATTTGTGAGTTTGTTTAGCCCGCCTCGACGATGCTTGAGTCTTACCACATCCTCCTCCATCAACAGATTGACTTTCACTCCCTCTACCCGAATCGGTGATTGCTCGTCCCACACTCTCACTAACATGGCTCGAAGAATTAAGGTTCTGGAAGAAATACCCGCACACTTTGTGCAGTCCTGCATGGTCATCATCCATTGGCTGTGCCGCCAGAAGGGTCGCCGATGTGCCACGAGCCCGATGAGCCTGCCAATGCCACGGGAATTTACCAAGCTTTCCGGCGAAATCTTGGATGCACGACACCCGAGCGAGAAAACGACCGCACCATCAGCAACATGACTGCCCGCACGCCCCAGATGCAGCTACAGACCACAATGACTCTTTCGAGTTTTGAGCCATCATCCACGCTGGAACTCTCCACGTTTGGTCGCAGTTATTCCAGACTCAATCAGACCACCGTGTTCGCCTCCCCAGACAATCGCGACAACCCCGGTAGTTCAAGGACGAGTGGTCCCCCGAAAACCCCCAGATGCGGAGGGTCGAATGGGGTGCTTGTGTTCGGACGCCAGGCTGAGATTAGGAAGGACTCTGCAAGTGGTGTCCTGGCTCGGCGGGATCAGGCCAAGATGCCAGTAGGACTTCTTGCAGAGTGGGCTTTGCTCCATTCCCATCTTGCCCATGCACTCTTGGCCTCCTCTTACGAGCTCCAGACTATGAAGGACCTTCTTGGCTTCTGACCATGGGCCGTAAAGCGCGTGGGCATGGTATCGCGTTGTGCAACAATTCTTTGGAACCTCTCGGCGTCTTGGCTTTAGCTTGAGCGCTTTCTGTCTGGCCTTGGATTACATCAAGTCTCAGCACCGACTGGCTTACAGGTGGAGTGGCCAAGGCCCACAGCCATCTTCTAATTTCACATCCGTACTCCCTTCTACCTGCCGTAATCGATGCTGATGGGCAATGCAGGAGAGAAAGAGCGCAGAAAGGGAACGCCAGGTCACATATCAACCCCCGTTATTCAAAGGCTCTGAAATCTCAGCGCAACCCTACGGAAACAATCTTGAAATTCAGGCGATATTTTAGAGTATCCGGAGCCTCTCAAATCCAGGACGGCAACGCCTTGGTTTGGCCTTGGCTCCATCTTGGCCCCATCTTGGCCGAGCAATTTTGACGATGATCAAGAGTAAGCCTTGAGTTTCGGGGGACTGAAACGTCTGCCGGTCTCCGGTACCCGGGTGGACAACAGACGAACATCGACGAGTGGGCCGTGTTGTCAACTGGCGATTAGTCGTGCTATCAATTGGGAGAGCAGCGACCTATCTTTTCTTGGCGTTTGCATGCCAAACGACGATCTCTATTGCGACCATTTGTCTCCTGTTTGCCAAGCATCCTCACCAGCGTTCTATCAAGCGACTTACGAGTAGTCGCTCGTCAATGCTGTAGGCAAAGCAGCTACCTAGATCCGGGCCAGATGCCCGTGATCAACCAGAAGCGGAGTCTTGGTGAGCAGATGCGACCTAGCTCCGACAACAGCTGCCGCTGTTCGACGGCGATGGTGAGAATTTCCGACGAGGCGTCGGTCCTGGCACACGACGTTTCCTCCGGACTGCTCCAATGCTGTAGTTTTCGGTTCAAGAAGCCTGCTACTGTCGTACTGGACCAGAATATCCATCTTGCCTGTGGCCAGAGGTAATCCCCACTTGCAGAAAATAGCTGCAACCCAACCCCTGGCCCCCTTTCTCCTTATCGTCGTTTTGTTTGTTTCCATTGCTGTTTCCAGCTATTTCTGTTTCCCGCTGTTCATTTATCAAATCGATCTATTCGACCCTCCGAAATGACCCGACCGTTCACACCCCATGAGACGCCAAGAATCAGAACTTGCCCCAATGCTTGACCAACATAAACAAAGTCACCGACTGAAGGTGTCTCCGCCTCAATCTGCGGACCAAATTTCCCTCATTCAGCAAAGTCGAAGTAAAGAGGTCCGGTGCATCGTTAGCCTGGACATGGCAGCCAAGTGGGCGGCAAAATAGGATGCTAGCTTACAAGATTCTGACGCTTGCTTGCCTGTTTACTATGCCTGATCTTCTTATCATTTTTGTTGTTACTATTATAAGTTTTGTTTCTCGTGAATTCCCATGAGAATACCCTTAAATGAAAGAAAAGAGATATGGATATTAGGCATAGAAATAACAGGAAAGGAGTTAGGGAGGGTACCGATTGAGCGGCAACCGATTTTGTCACCTACTTGGCAGCGTAATGCAGGCCACTGTCGCCTTCGCCCTCAGATTGCGGCATGATGCAGTTCTAGGTTACGGCGCCTTCTCAATGAGGCCTCCTGTCCCTTTCTTCCGCGACACAAGCAGTGTCCAGTGTGTCACGTCTTCAGAAGAAGAAATCTAGTGATTTGCTCCTGAGTGGGGTAGACAACTGAAGGATAGATCTGGACTATCGAGTGGCAAATTCCCGCTGCATGGGCTCGATGCAAAAGTAAGGAGGGAGCTCCAGTTCCTGGTTCAGAAAGAGTCGATAGAATGCTTGAGCGTCCGTCGCTGTGGCTTTCGTGGTCTTGCAGGCTTCGAAGGCGATGACATTAACGCACCGTTCTCATTTGCGTCTAACATCCTCTCTCGCTAGTATTGCTATTGCTATGTCTATTCTTGCCAGCTCATGTGGAGGCCGTCGAAGTATCTTCGTTCCTGCTATGCAATCGTGTGCGGAATCTTCTTTGAAGTGGTCATTGATCCCTAGTTGTTCCCTTACTTCGGACCAATTCTCCCTGCCCCTGCTCTCTGGGGGAGGCCGGTCTCCTCGTAGACGCCCTTGACCACAATAAGGCGATGGTGCCTTCCTCTGTGCATCATGGCCACTCATTCGTGTTGTATGGTAGACATTGGACACAAGCCAGAGAACCAACGGGATCTTTTGCAGATTTGGGCACGCCACACTCTACGAGCTGCTATACTTGACTACTGAGATGCCTGAAGAAGCCACGCTGAGCACGACAATCATCTCGCGGGACGCTTCAAACACGTCTGCTAATGCTGGATGCGAGCCATCTTACAGTACAGTCCTTCTCTACGCCGTGCCCATGGTCCACCACTTGCGAGACGGCCTACGCATAGTCATTGACCTCTTGTCATGCTGTCTCGTCACCGTATGTGGTATCGGTTATTGCCCAACAACAAAGGCGAACAACCCTCGAACACTCTTGGCTTTGTAATCTTGCTAACCCCCTGACAATGGCCGCGCCTCAAAGGTGCAATCTACAGATCTTCACTCCATGACCAGCACGCTCCTAAAGCGCACCTTATTCGACATCATACGCTCCACCGCTTCAGGCGCCTCGCTCAATGGGAACTTCTCAATCAGGCACTTGACGCCCTGCTTCCTCGAGAACTCGATCGCGTCCTCCGAATCCCGCGCGTGCCCACTAGGCCATCCATGAACCGAACAGCCGCCCGCGATCAAATGCAACGAGCTGATTTCGATGTTCCCAACCGCCGCGAGCACCATCAACTTGCCGCGCACCCGCAGCGCGCCCGTAAGGGGGCTAATAGCCTTTGCACTCGGCGCCGCCCAGAGCCTTGAGCCTCGCCACGGGGTCCTCGACGCTGCTGTCGATGAAGTAGTCGGCGCCCAGCTCAGACGCGAAATCCGCTTTCGCGGCGCCCGAGCTGATGGCCGCGACGCGGAAGCCCATCTTGGTGGCGTACTGCACGGCGAGGTGGCCTAGGCCGCCGAGGCCTTGGACGGCGACGAGGCTTCCTTGGGGAATCACCATCTTGCGTATGCCGTTGAAGACGGTGACGCCGTTGATTGGGCCGTTTTGGCAGGATTGGGATTGGCCTAGCTGGCATGTTGCGCAGGTTCCGTCGTGGCCTTGTATGGACGTCAGTTGAGTGTGCTTCAACATGATCTCTCTCCCCAAAGACCCCTCTCATCTCCGGCTTGATTATAATCCAAAGGTTTCCAGAGAGTACAGACTCACCTCCATGCCAAGCTCCTCCAACGCGCTCGCCGCCCCTAAACCTCGACACGAGAGATGCAGGAGTGAAACCTGTCATGTATCGAGGTTAGAAGATGGAAGCCCTGGGGAATGTGAGGGAAGTCTCGTGAGGTTCTTGAACTGAGGTACTCCGTGAAACATTCGAAGAAACGAAGATTCGATTACGCTCTAGTGGTTACACTCTCCTGCTGATTACGGCTCATTTCAGTAATAAAATTAACAACCAAAACCAAAAACGCGTCAAAAATGAAATCAAGATGCCGCTCTAGATCACGTAACATCACCTCCCAGTCTCATTCACTCATACACCACCCGCCCCTGAGACCCAAAATCTAGGCCTTTTTAACCTTTTCCTGGCCTCTTTGGAAAATCTTCTTCTTAATCACCGCATCGTCCAACCCCGCCCCCGCATTCATGGTCCCATCAAACACCGTCCTTGGCCCAAACGCATTTAAGAACCAAACAAGCCACGCGTTCGTACCCTTCCACACATACGGGCTCCCGCCGCTCTTGAGCACAAGCGGCACGACCTGCCTCGCAAACTCATCAGGCTTCATCGTCGTCTTCTCGTGCGTGGCGCTGCGCTCCCGCACCTTATCCTCGGCGTCGACGTACAGGCTGTCCCTGTCGAAGCTGATATTGTTGGCCTGGATGATGGAGGTGGCCACCTCGCCCATGTAGACCGTCAGCACGCGCAGGCCGAGGGGCGCGACCTCGAGACGGAGGGTGTCAGAGTAGGCCGCGACGGCGGCCTTTGTGGCGTTGTAGCCTGACGTGAAGGGCCCCGGGAGGCGGGCGAGCACGGAGGCGACGTTGACGATTGTGGGTTGCTGGGAGGATCGGGAGGTGGAGACGGCGGCGAGGAGGAGCGGGGTGAAGGCTGTCACCATGTCGAAGAGGCCGAAGACGTTGGCGTCGAACATTTGGCGGGTGCGGTAGGAGTCTGCTTCTACTGCTGGCGCTTCGTAGACTTGATGCCGAAAAATACCATGTTAGCTGTTCCGTGCTTCACAGGTTCTATTATTGGGGAGGAGTGTCAGATGGGGAAGAAGGACTCACGAGCACCCGCATTGTTGTACAGAATGTCAAGGGTACCTCCTGTACGTCTTGAAATCTCCTCTTTTACGGTAGCGATACTCTCCGAGCTCGTCACGTCGAGCGTGAGCGTTTCGATGCCCTTTTCTGTGAGGTTCGCCACGGACTTAAGCGAACGGGCGGTTGCGAAGACGCGTAGGCCTTGGGCTGCGAATGCGAGTGCCAGCGTGTTACCGACACCCCCTTGGGAGCATCTATCAGAGACATGTCAGCGTTCCAAGCGTGGGGAATGCAAAGTAGAGGAGCATAGAAGGTATCTCGGAGGCAACCACACTTACCCTGTGATGAGGACTGTTCGCTTGGTAGGCGATGACATGATTGCAGGGTGGAACTGAAAATTGGCTATGAATGGTGAGAGCTTGGAAGATTGAATAAGCTGGATGAGTTGAATAGGTTGTCCAACCATGCAATCTCGAGGTGGAAATCGCGTACGACTTAAGTAACTAGACGATAGATGCAATTTGGAATACAATGGCCCCCAATTAGTACCAATATATCTTAGCCATTAAAATCGAGAAAAACAGTCAAAACTTTAGCCATGATGACAGATCTCAAGTTGTGTGCGTCGAAGTCGAAGACTATTGGTAAGCTCGTAGAGAAAGGCACTTTAGAAGATTAGAGCGAGTGGCGTGTGCTTTCGGAGCCTTCAGATACTCCATTCTCCGCCGTCTTGAAAGGCGACCGGGCAAGCCATCGCCCTCTCTACGTCTTTATCCGGAAGAAGGGGCCGGACAGGGCCTCGGGATGACAAAGACTGGCTTCCAGCACGTAGAAGTTTTGGTCCCATTTTATCGCCTTGTCTACTATACCGCTCGCGTGTGGTGAGTAAACCATAATCATCCCGGGGGCTGTTTAATAATCGCCTCCGAGAAAGTGGGGACTCTCCGGCGCCGATTTGAATGCATCCGTAGCCCGTCAAATGTGGGGCTTTAGTCCCATCCGCAAATCGTTGGCTGATCGTCCGTCTGCTGTCCACTCCGCAACAGCAGCAAGGCGAACAGGCCACTTGCGGTTCGTGATTGCGCATCATGGCGAACGGAACGTGCTTAATAATGTTCAGTTTTGGGTTTCAGCATGGGAGAAAGCATACGGAGAGATGAGCATAAAATGACAATTGAGGAACGATGTCTACGTAAAGATTCCGATATCCTTCTTCATTACTACCAAATTGCAATCAATCTTTCAAGCAAATACACGGAGCCATTACATGTACACAAAAATGTCTTCCAACCACGCCATCGTCATCCAGGGAGCAGGCAAGGCCTCAGTCGTCGAAGCTTCCATCCCCAAGCTCCGCGACGACTACCTCATCGTCAAAGTCAAGGCCGTCGCCCTGAACCCCACCGACATCCTCCACATCGACCTCTTTGCCGTCACAGGAGCCCGCGTGGGCTGCGACTACGCCGGCATCGTCGAAGAGGTCGGCTCCAAGGTCGCAAAGTCCTTCAAGAAGGGCGACCGCATCGCCGGCGTCGCGCACGGGTCCAATGCCGTCCACCACGAGGACGGCACCTTTGCCGAGTACATCACCGTCAAGGGCGACCTGCAGCTCCGCATCCCGGACAACGTCACGTTCGAGGAGGCCGCCACCCTCGGCGTTAGCGTGACGACCGTGGGCCAGGGCCTGTACCAGAGTCTCGGCCTGCCGTACTTTGACCAGCCCAGCACCGAGAAGCTGCCCGTTCTCATCTACGGCGGGAGCACGGCGACTGGCGCGCTGGCGATCCAGTACGCCAAGCTGTCTGGTCTGTACGTCATCACGACGGCCTCGCCTCATAATTTTGCTTACCTGAAGAAGCTGGGCGCCGATGAAATCTTGGATTACAAGTCTGCCACCGTCGTGGAGGACATCAAGAAGAGCGCGGGCGGCAAGCTGAAGCACGTGCTGGACTGCATTTCCTCGGAATCGTCTGCGGACATCAGCGTCAAGGCGATCGCGGAGGACGGCGGCGTCTACTCCACCCTGCGGCCCGTGCCGGCGGAGCTCGTCTCGGCGATCAACAGCAAGGTGACGCCCAAGATGACGCTGGCGTATACTGCCATCGGTGAGCCGTGCCAGTTTGGCCCGCAGGCTTTGCCGGCGATCCCGGCGGATCTAGAGTTTGGGAGCAAGTTCTGGGCTGATACCGAGCGGCTGTTGGGGGAGGGCAAGATTGTGGCTCACAAGCCTACTGTGAATGAGGGTGGAAGCGGCCTCGAAGGCGTTCTGAAGGGTCTTGATCTTGTTAGACAAGGCAAGGTGAGCGGAACCAAGTTGGTTTATATTGTATCGTAGTAGGTCAGAGGTCAGGAAAAGCGGTTCGGGCTTGCACCAATTATGAGTAACAATCAAAATGCTTGAATGCGAATGCTTCACAAGCGAAACCACGATGTGTCCTGGCAGGTTCGCGAATTTGCACAATCCTACGGGGCTAGAATTTTGTCATGATTTCCATGCCTTCGATTTTATCTGTTTTCTCTGAGAATCTCACCAATCCGAACTGCAATTAGTGATCATAGGAGGGATGGCACTTAGAAACTTTGCTTGGGTGATGGGGTCAGAGACCAGGACACCGGAGCCGAATGCTGCAGGGATGTGGTCTCCCGAACCCGAGCGCCACTTGCCCGATTTGTCCGCTGGTGAGAGCCCATTGGCAGTCAAGGTAACAGAACTGCAGATGTTTTGCAGGTCAGCGGCGGGAGGAAAATGATGTGGCGCATGCAGGTCGTCACGGAGTTGAAGTGTTCAGACTGCTTGACAACTCTTTAGATAGCGACACGTCGTATGTTCGCCGGTCTGAACTTCTTGCATAAGTCTGCATCGAAGAAAGTCACAGTGTTGATTTAAACAAGCAGATACTAGTGCTCCTGTATCCCAAGGATTGTCGCACTTTGCAGGAGAGTTTCTCGTAAAGGAAAACAGATAATCTGGTACAGTCTAAGGAAAATTTGATGTTCATCGAATCGAGTGTCGCCCTGCATCGGCTATACTTCCTCTAGAGACACCATTCCGCACCCCCAGTCTTATACCGCCTGACTATCCACTTGGTAGAGCCAAATATCGATAGACTTACTTGCAGTCTGATCAAATGCCTAAGACCGAGTAAAGAACCTCGGCTCCTACCTGCTAGTATGGGATGCAAGGAGGCCTCTGCGTTTACTGACATGTCGGTTGCCGATTTCTGACCGATCTCTGCCGAAGTTATGCATAGCGAGTCTGAGAAAAATCGAGCCTCCCCTTAAGGAATCGATTGATTGATAAGACAACCTAACATGACTTTAACGTCATGCAACTAGCTCGATAGCCTACAGGATAGCCTATGGGAGGAGGAGGAGAACGGGATCATCCACCCCAGTACAGCAACGTTCGCATCTCCCCCGCAGCCACGCACCCACGTTTTACTAAAACTTTTTCTTCATCGGAGGCTTAGGGAAGAACGCACATGGAAGAGAAAGGGTTAGAAAATCCTTCACCACCATTGGATACCGCCCTCCGGAAGAGAAGAACCTTCCTCATGCGGTGTTTAATGGCAATTGACTCTGTTAGATAGGTCCGATCAGTCTTGCATTACGGAGTAGAGAAGTTATGTTACGGGAGCTATCCGAGAGTAGCCCTTCGGTGGGGCTGGTCCGATCGAATGGCAACCCGCTCAGGAACCCAGGATGTCACCCCCAACGGGGGATAACTCTTGGAGTTTCTCCAAACAAGCTCTTTTACACCGCGATGTTCCACTCCGCCAAGACTCTGAACCGCTGCTCATGGCGGAAAGCGGCAATTGAGCGGGAAGGAATACGTCGTAATCGTCATGGAAGCCAATAAGATTTCTCTCCTGAGAAAAGACTCAGACTTCCCGATATCCCAGAGAAGAGTACCTTGCAGTGCCGATGTCCAGGGCCCTAGTTTATTGCTGTGAAAGCTCCTCTCCTTCCTAGGTCCTTCTCGGACTTCTACTATGTGCGAGAGTGCTGGCGATGGCAAAGTCGAGCCATCTTAGAGAAAGACAAATACCAGACGAAAGAATGTAGATGACCTCGGGTTTCTCTTCTCTCTCTCTCTCCCACCACCACCTCTCTCTCGTTCATTCCAAAGCGGTGTGCCTCGCCACCCATGCCCCTCAAGATGCGGTCGTCACTCCTTTCCTCCCTCGTCTACCTCTGCCTGGCCACCTCGTCGGCCTCGGCCCGCCACGTCCACCAGCTCCGCGCCGACTTCAACCTCGCCTCCCTCCCGCAGGCCCACTCGGCCCGCGGCCTCCCCGCCGCAGACGGCAAGAAGGGCGTCCTCCTCATGAACCGCATTGGGCCCTCGACCTCGGAGCTCTACATCGCCAACGCAGACGGCACAAACGAGCAGAAGCTCCTCGGCAACGCCTCGAACTTCGAGTACCACGCCGCCTTCTCTCCGGACGGCAAATACGTCACCTTCACCACCGAACGCAACGGCGACGGCAACTCGGACCTCTACCGGTGCAGCTTCTCCTCTGCCGGCACCGGTAACTCGACATCTGCCTCGTGTTCCAATCTGGAAGAGCTCATCGCCACTCCCGCTGTCGAAGACGCGGGCGCCCTCTCCCCAGACGGAACAAAACTCGCCTACGTCTCCACCGAGAACGGCTACCGCGCCAACATCTGGGTCCTCGACATCGCCACCGGCGTCCGCCGCAACCTCACAAACACCCCCGAGATCGCCGGCGACCCTCTGCTGCCCGACGGCCACTTCAGACCCAGCTGGTCCCCGGATGGCGAGTGGATCGCCTTCGCCTCGGACCGCAACACGGCCTGGAGGGGTCACGGCAACGGTACCGGCTGGGAACACACTCAAGAGCTCTCCGTCTACGTTGTCCGGCCGGACGGCTCCGGGTTCCGCCAGGTCGCCACAAAGACGGGATACTGTCTCGGCTCGCCGAAATGGAGCCCCGACGGGAAACGCATCCTCTACTATGAGATCACCACCGAGCAGACGTGGGACGCGCACCGGCCCGAGTCCCTCGCCGCCGCCATCTCTCAGATCGTCTCGGTCGATTTCGAGACGGGAGAAGACCGCATCGAGCATACCTCTGGCGCCAGCGTCAAGATGTTCCCGCAGTGGTTGGCTGATGACGACAGCACCTCGGATGAATCCAGCAGCGACAACATCGCCTATCTGATCAAGGGCGGCGATAACGAAGGGTACAACTACACCTCCGGCGCCCACGCACCCGTCAAAGCAGCGATCCGCTCGCCAGCCTGGTCCCCAGACGGCCGCTTCGTCATCTACGAGAAAGTAGGCTTCACCGCCCGCGCCATGGAGAAGCCCCTCTACAGCTGGGACGCGGACTGGGAATACCGCTCCACCGA